AATTCTTTTATTAGATGCATAGGTTGGGTGAGATGATGCATGTAGAAGTGGGTAGGCCAAGCCAAATGTTCCAAATACGTGTGCACCTACAACTGAAGTTCTGATAAGAAGATACGCGAAGAAAAAAAACGAATGGTTGGTGACACGTAAGTACCAAATGAGATTTCGCAGATATGGTATGTTTGTAAAGATAGGCCGCATGAAAGGTTTTGATTTGGCCATAGGACAAAGGATTTCACGTACGCATTGGAATGGTCGGATGGGTTAATAGAAAATATGTTGTATACAATTGTGCGATGGGACGGATGTCTACTGGAGATTAAAAAGGGAATAAAGAGGAAACTGATGAGATTGTTTGATTGATCCTTGGCACAAATGAATTTATAGAAATTGGTTTAGCGCGTGTTGTTCACCTCCACGATATTTTATCGGGAAAAGTGAAATAAATAAATGGGGTTGCCGTAATCATATTTTTTTTTTCCTTTTTCTGGATTCGTCGGCGCGTCTCATTGGTGCACAATTGATTTTGGGCTTTGGGGAGATGGGATGGAACGTTTGATTGGATCGCAATGAGCATTCCAGTATTGTAAACAATAGATTCTGCAAGGAAGGGGTTCGGTGGGTGGTGGAATTAGTCTGTTTCAAATGGATCGGGTCTGGTTCTGTGGCGGGGTTTGCGACGAATTGAACTTTACGGTTGACTCATTTTGGAAAATTTGTATTTTTAACCTGAGGTGCACTCGTATACTCAAGGTCGGCTGAAAAGATGTGCGTACGTGCATTGCGATGTTTAAATAGGAGACCTTTTTACAAATCGGGGATTGAAAGATAATCTTTGCGTTGTGTAATTATCCAAGAATCATTATTCCAAAACGAATAAATTTATAATAATATGATGAAACGCGTTGCTTTATTTGCCAAAATAATGATTTCTATGAATTTTTTTTTTAAATAGTGCGTATTGTGCACATGTGCGGTGCGCATTCACGCTTCACCAAATTTCATTCACCGCCGATCGAATGCCTCTACCCAAATTTGTATACGCATTGGGCACACAAACTCTGGATTTTTCCAAATCATTTGGCACATGTTCGCATTTGGAAAATAGCCGGAGATGAAGGGAATCCGCCAAGGACTAAGAAGATCTTTTACCACTATCGTCCACGAATAATTATTGTCGGAGTTTTGAGTGAATTTTTTTAAACACCTTCATTGTGTTTTAATTAACGTTGTTTTCCTATTATGAACAAAAAAAAATTTTTTTTTTTTTTTTTTTTATAGGAACTATTCCAATGAAGTAACAGGTAAAGACGGAGGGATGAACTCCGTGAAGGCTGCAACAAATTCTAGATAAGAGGTGAGGAGGTATGGAATGCATATAACATCACGGTTAATTCCATCGCAAACAGTTCGCAAAGGATTCCAACAGTCGTCGTTTAAGTGAAGTCAAGTGGTGGGTCGTGGTAATCTATTGTTATTATTATTTGGAGTAGATTTTATTCACTCGAGATGTGCACACATACAATGTACATCATACAGTATATACTGTACCCTAGCATATTTCCGGACTGTTGTAAGTGCGAGAATACGTAGAAAGGAACTGTCGCTCCCCGGATAATTAACCGGATGGGAGTGTCGTGAATACAAAGCATAAAAAATTTTTTTGATTTCGGATGGGAGAATTTTTCACAAAAGGGGAGGCAAATTTCCAAAACTTGCACAGCCACCCACTCGAACAAAAGTATCCGACAAGACCTTGGGGATTGACATTTTTAGTATGATGTACTCTGTTCAGGTGATTGCACGTTTGGTCAATCGACTCATCCTCATTTCGCAACCAAGAAGATTGATGTATGTCCACGTTTAACAATCGACCCGTCAGATGAGGAAACGAATAAAGACGCTGCGGTCAAAATTTGATAATAGGTTAGAACCTGCGTTATGCAAATCGTTTAATATTGCATGATATGAGTCATCGGAGCTGCGCCAGCACTGGAACCAACGTCATATTACCTAAATTTGAGAAATCATTGGTAATACGCACATTGCAGTAATCAAGGATGGACAACGAATTTTTTACGGCGTCACATTCGATCTCGGTCTTTTTCGGATACCATATCAAAGTGCACTCCTTTGACGAATTTCCGCTGCGAAGTGAACGGCCGAATAAGGAAAAGGATGAAAGGAGCAAGCGTGCGCATATCAATGATATTCAAGGCGAGAACGGCAAATATGTAAGTACATTGTTTGTGACGATATTGGGGAATTGATCACCTTTAGGCCACCATTTCGTTTAAGTAAAATGGGGGTGGAAGGGAGTATTGGGAATGAATATTCATTATTAAATAAAAATAATGTTTCGTGGTTGATGCACGATGACGATTTCTCGGCTATTAAAGCAAAGGAAAAATGAATTCGTGTCACATCGTTCTCTCATTCCCCAAACGTATTGGTAAAGTTAATATAAAAAGAGTTGCCCGTGACGCTGATCAGCAACACCGGGTGTATTTTGTATTTTGTTCGTAGCGCAATATGTAAATACTGTGCGTACGCATTAACGGATTCATCTTCGGTGATCCTGAATGGAAGGACCCAATCAAAATTTGATCCCACAAAAATTTCAGCGGTCTTTGATGTTTTCCCTTTTTCTTGTTCTTCTGAGAATTTGAACAAATTTAGATCACAATAAACGACTTGCGAACACAATAGAAGCATGCAACTGGTAATTCGATTGTCCAAACTATGGACGCATGTAAAGTTTAAAAGAAATCGCTGATTACATTTTTTCAAGATTATGGTCGAGGGTCGCACAGTACATAAGTACATGGCGCCACCTCAATGGCGCTTTTGGGAAACTTATGCAATATTGCAAATTCGTCATGTGTGGTCGTAGTTTTTGGCTTCATTCATGAAATAGAAGTATGGACTCGACCGAGTGGAAGCTTAACTTATTTCGACATAGCGGCAATCCATTGACAACTTGTCACATATTGCAGCTTCTCTGGTTGGTTCATCCATAAGCTTAGATGACGTGAGTAAATTGTCAACACAATTTAGGAAATGAAAAATGATATTTGGTAAGGCCAACTTTCAGGGTCATACCCTTCTCGACGTGATCCAATCGGGAGGTCACCGCTTTCTCATATCACACTTAACACCCCTAGATTTACAGGACCCGTTTCTTGGTGCAAAGTGTGAAGTGAAATAAATACTTTTTATGGAATTCATTTATTAAATTAAATCACAACAATATGCAAAACAATTGATTAAGTTTTAATGAGCGGTAGTAAGCTTTTAATCGATTGCACGGCACTCATGAAATAAGAAAGAAAGAAAGAAAGTAGAATGCCCACGGAAATACCGTGTGTGTGATAACGGATGATTGGTTTGAATAGGATCGCCAGAGTGATGTATAATTCTGGTGGAAAACGTATTTTACGCTGCGACTTGCACGTGCCAGCGCTTTCATCCTTCTTTGATTGATGGAGCGAAATGGTTTAGTGTGATGCTTGACGATAGGGGATGCATTATATTGTGACCCATTCATTAGCCATCCACGTATAAGTATGTACACCGTGTTGTCTTGCGCTGGCAATTACTGGCCCCAAAACTTTGAATGTACGTACTGTACGTGCATTATACGCTACGTGAATCATGAGCGTGCTATTTTGGAGTTGCGCAGCATGCATGCAAAGTTCCATAATAAAATAAAATCTAACTTCCGAACTTCTTTTTTCTAATGCTTTTGAAGAAACAAAACAAAATGGTTAAGCGGTAAAAAAAAAAAAAGGTGATGATGAGGAAAAAAAGAGAAGATCGATTTGTTCAATCGGAAAATTGCTTTTTTTCGGTAATGCACTAAAGCGGTTAAGATACACTGTACATACATATCCTGTATACGTGTAATTAGTGACCTCTCGCTCACCCTATTCTTCCCTCGCGTATTTATTTATCAATGACTGTATTGAATATGGAAAGAGTGTGTGCAAAAGAAGAAGAAGAAGAAACAATCTTTCTGGAAATCTCCACCTAAAATCACGCACGTGTGAAATTCTTTCTTGTGAGGAGAAGGGCCTGGCGGTCGAGGAGGCAGCTGACGCTCTGTGTAATAAGCGAAGGAAGCGAGTGTGTTATTATTGGTACACACAGGCAATTACGAAACCTCCATCCCTCGCTTGATGAATCTCAATTTGGATAATTTTATTGTGAGAATAAAGGACTTCTCGATTTCTTTATGCCATATGTAACAAACCTTTTTTTTTTTTTTTTTTTGATCACTCGAAAAAAACAAATATACTTGTGATGCGTGTGTACAGCGCATCGATAATGTCAATCGTAAATAGAAAAATGCATACACACATGCATATATACGTACTCGGATCACGGGTTTCGGGGAACCAGAATAATAATCGATGATTTATCTTACATATATTGTGCAATTTATAACAGGGTTCAAAATCAAAAAAAAAAAAAGCAAAACGTCCATATCATTTTGTTTTAAATTGGTGACCCTTTTCTTCTTTGATTAGTTAACATAAATGGCGATTACGTGCCACCTACAGCTTATGCATAAATATTTATTTATGTATCACCCGTTATGCTCATCATTAGTTATTATATTATTATTATTGTACTGTATCAATGATCGAATGACCGATCCCTTTGATTAATACCTCATTCTTGTGTCCATAATTCACCCCACAACTATAATCACAACCTTGTTTTTCTTTGTTACTTGTGATGATTGTTATGGACATCACTCTTCGACATCGAGATTTCCTTGCCTTCCCTGTGTTGTTCACCTTTGTTATTTTTTCTCCCATTTACAACGTCGTGCACCCTAATCATCGTTTCTCTACCAGGGCTCCCTTTTTTGGTACGATAATCACTTGTTTTGATTCCCAAGAATGTTGAGCGACATTTACAATTAGGCCATACCTACTTCCTTATTTGTCAATACCTATGGGTAAGATGTGAATTAACAATAATTACAGGTCGCAATGCAATCGTTATCTTTCCACTTTGGCTGCAAGCCACCGTGTGCTGTGAGACTTAAGGTCCTGACGGAACAACCTAACACAAAAAGGTTACACGCGACGCCCTCAACCTCACCCAATTTTTCACTTATCATCAAACGCGTGAGCCGTCTTCTATGTTTCTTAACCGCATTCTTTATATCGCCCGTCTCCACGTAAGCAAGGCATGCAGTGCGCTTTTGTTATACAAATTGTTGTAAACAAACAAGTTTTCGATTTACTGTATCAGGAGAGACTGAACACATATACGTAATTATTAGGCATGTACTGTATGTGCACAAGAGTTATTGTTATTGTGCCGAAAAGCCGATCAGGGATTTGAAAATAAATTTCGATAATATTTTTAGAGATATAAAACAACAAATTATTATGGTCATAATAGAATTACCGCACTTTTATCCAACATAATATACGATGCAAAGATGCATGAACGATTGATAAAATTTTCGTTTTCAAATCATGATTCGCCAATTAATACAAGCCACTCGCGAAGTAATAAGTGAACTATTCATATATCGAAGCTGAAATTTTTCAATTAATTTAATTCTCTTACAAGTCTATAGAATACATGAAAAATACTTACTTATATACATTATCTTACACAGTAGATTCTATTAATAATTGTTATTTGAATCGGGGGTTTTTTTTTTAAAAAAAAAATCTTTTTTACCAATCTAGTAATTATTTAATTAGCAAACTTAAAATTCGAAATATCGTATTTTAATAAATCACCAATTAAAATAGCAACAATTAAACCAACTCTACTTTATATAAACAAAACAATATACAGTATATCGTATAATAAATTGTTTAATCATTATATACAGTACATTTGGATGCACCGTACGCAACATAAAAAATTGGTATTTAACAAAAAAATTCGCATAAAAAATAATTTCTTTTATATCCACATATGATTGTTTTCAAAAGTTTGAGTCTATTTACTATCTTTTTTTTTTTTATAAATTTTAGCTTTATCAATTTTTGAATCTTTAATTATACAATCAAAAATTATAAAATTCAAATATATTATATCTTAATATTTATTCTATTTTTTACATTTTTTAATAAAAAAATTTTTATAGATAATTTTTAAATTATTATTATTATTAAATACTTTTTATTTATTTATTAAATACAATATATATAAATTTATAATTTTTGATTATATAATTAAAGATTTAAAATTTAAAAAATTGAAATTAATAAAAATATAATAAATAAACTTAACCTTTTGAAAACAACTATATTTATATATACAATATATATAATAAAATAAATATATTCATAATAAATCAATAATTCTATAATAGTAACCTGCAAACAATAATATTAGGAGTTGGAAGAGTTTTTATCTAAATTCTTAATAAAGCAACAAATCACTTTCAAAGTTATACTTAGAGTAATAATTACAAAGACAAGTAAGCTAATTAAAGTTTTTAGTTTTAATAATTCATATTATATATATAGTTTACAATTGTTCAATAAAGCACATATAACTAACCTAACAGAGGATTTTTTTAAAAAAAATAAATAAATCAATCAATAATATAATAAATTAAATAGAATTTGGTTTAGCGCGTGTTGTTCACCTCCACGATATTTTATCGGGAAAAGTGAAATAAATAAATGGGGTTGCCGTAATC